TAGGGGTAAGTGGTCTTCTATATCTGAATGGGCAGGACTCTCTGCCAGCGCTGCTACTGCATTCTGGTCTGTCTCTGAGATGTATGGCTCTGGAACCTCCTCCTGCTCTGGTTCAGCAGCAGGTCCTAGCAAGTCCACTGTTTCAGTTTCTGAATCAGTCCATGTTCACATTCTGGAAGCAGGGCATGATGAGCAGTAGCTTTGCCAGAATCAGCAGAGGAAGTTTTCAGAGCATGGTGATAGACATTGCCACCTGTTAATGTCTGCACATCCAGCCAATATTTATCAAAGTCGTAAGGCAATAGCATCTTCTCACTCATATTCCCCACTGATTGGTATTTAGAGAAGGTGTGGGCAGAGAGCAAGCTGCGATTTATACGTAGCCCCCAAAATCATTTTGTGGTCCTCAGATCCTGCAGGACAGACAGACATATACACCCAATGCCCCCCACCATTGTCTCCAGGAGTGGCAGGTTTTGCATTTTGAGGATCATAGGGAACCCCCAAGCCCTTCACAGACTTCAACTTCAAAATAGGAAGAAGATTTTTGTTTATTCTGGTTTTAATTTTACTATCTTTTATTACATTTACTAGCACTTTTTAAAAACCTAGTGCATCCCATTGTGGTGGATGCTAGGAGTGAAAATTTGTCTGAGTTGCCTAGCCCCTGATTTAGAGTCATGGGCTTCTTCACAAATACAATGTATAGCTCTCTGATTTAACTTACCATATTTTCTGGCGTATAAGATGACTGGGCATATAAGATGACCCCCAACTTTTCCAGTTAAAATATAGAGTTTGGGATATACTCGCTGTATAAGATGACCAATGCACACCAAATAAAAATTAAAAAACATCAGATTTTATTTCAATAGGGTAATTTTAATTCAAATGCTTATGACATGCAGGTACCGTAGTAACTTTTTGTTTGTTAACTGCTGTCAAGTTGACTTTGACTTACGCCAACCCCAAGAATGAGAGACCTTTATATCAACAGCCCTGCTCAGGTCTTGCAGACTTAGGGGAGCCATAGCTTCCTTGGCTGAGTGAGTCTATCCATCTGGAATGCAATCTTACTCTCTTTTTACTGCCCTCCACCTTTCCTAGCATTATTGTCTTTTCTAGTGAGTCATGTCTTCTCATGACCAAAGTACAACAGTTTCAGGTTAGTCATCTTGGCTTCTAGTGAGATTTCAGTCTTTATTTGCACTAAGATCCATTTCTTTGTCTTTTAAGCAGTCCGCAGTATCCGTAGACCTCTTCTCCAGCACCACATTTCAAATGAGTTGATTTTCTTCCTCTCCACTTTCTTCACTGTCCACTTTTCATAACCATATATAGAAATGAGAAATACAATGGCACAGACAATCCCAACTTTAGTATTCAATGGTATATCTTGACCCTTCAGGATGTTGTCTAGTTTCTTCATAGCTGTCCTTCCAAGTCCTAGTCTTCTGATTTCTTGACTGCCGTCTCTGTTCTCATTAATGATGGAGCCAAGGTATGGAAAATCTTTATGTTGTCATCATTCCACCCTCCTGTAACTAACTCAGAATAAGACATTAAGACAGACGTAGAAAATCATAGAATCATAGAGTTGGAAGAGACCACAAGGGCCATCCAGTCCAATCCCCTGCCATGCAGGAACTCAAAATCAAACCATCCCAGACAAATGGTAATGTATCATATAATAAATTATATGCAGCCAGAGACAGGGTGAAGTTCCAAACAGAGTTTTGGAAGCTGGGGATGAGGAAAGAGCTCAAGGAGTTATTCCCTGGCCTATGTATCATATAATAAATAGGCCAGGGAATAACTCCTTAAGCTCTTTCCTCATTCCCAGCTTCCAAAACTCTGTTTGGAACTTCACCCTGTCTCTGGCTGCTCTAGATGACTCTATTCCATCCTGGCCCTACCTAATTCTTCAACAGATCAGTCTCAAGTTTATATCCTCCATCCCAGCATTTCATGACTAGGATTGGCGGGCTCTAAGCAGGCTTGCTCAGCTTCACTCTTGACAAGGTGATGACTGATAGCTCCCCAAATGAATTCAGCACTTTGTTCAGTTCTTTGGGAATCCTCCCAAACCTGGAGTGGATTCACCAACCCATTGACATGGAAACCATCAGCCGCCATTGTGTCCCTGATGTCACTCAATCCTCACCAAAGAGTTTTTCCACTTTCGTGGGCATTACAGAATTTTCTTGTAGGAGTGTTGCTCCAGTCCCTATATACCCCCTCACAGAGATCTGATTCTGAGAGAAATTGAAATTCAGGCTTTCATGAACCCACCAGAAGCCATACAAGAAATAGTGAGAAAAAGCTTCACCTGCTGAATACCTACCTGATCCTTGCATAGTTGTTAAAAACCCAGAAGGAATCGGTAGTGGGGAAAGGTTGACAAAGTATTTTTATCATTTATATTTTGTATTTTTCACTTTAAGTCTTTTAGAAAGTTGATTTATTTATTCGATTTACTTCCATCCTTTCTCCCAAAAATTGGTCTCAAAGCCACTCACAATAATCTAAAAAATAAATAAAATTAAAGCACAAAACAAGATCAACCATTGAAATAAAACTAAATGAAAAGCACGTTACACCATCTTGTCATCTTCACAACAGCCCTGTCAGGTAGGCTAGAAAGTTGTTGTTATTGCTGTTATCTAAATCATCACAGAGCAGATTACAGCTGAGCAAGATCACTCTCGCAGAGACAGACTATTAAGAAGAGACTTCCTGATTCCTGCTCATCTTATTGCCAGCAGAGCTACGATCCTGC